GTTGAGGTATATTAAGTGAATAATGAACATTTGATCAAATGTTCAAAGAGTTGTGCCAAGATACTAGATCTTGACGACTCTTATTCGTCCAAGTTGAGATTAAATTATTTAATGAACAGCGAGCTCTTGATGATAATCGAGAACTAAAAGAGTTATGACAAGATGTTAGATCTTGATGGCTCTTATTCTCCCAAGATGCTAATTGAGAAAAAAGTTTGATGGACAACGAGCATTTGATAACAATCAATTGTTCAAAGATTTGTGCCAAGATGCTAGATCTTAACGACTCTTATTCATACAAGTTAGTGAGAATTGTTTAATGGACGATGGGCTTTTGATGATAATAAATTACTCAAAGGATTTATTCCAAGATGCTAGATCTCGACGGCTTCTATTCATCCAAGATGTTAATTGAGAAAAAAGTTTGATGGATAACGAACATTTGATAACAATCAATTGTTCAAAGAGTTGTGCCAAGATGCTAGATCTTAACAACTCTTATTCATCCAAGTTGATGAAAATTGTTTAATGGACGACGAGCTTTTGATGATAATCAATTACTCAAAGGAGTTATGTCAAGACGCTAGATCTCGACGGCTCCTATTCATCCAAGTTAAAACTGAAAATTGTTTGATGGACAACGAGCACTTGATTGTAATCAATTGTTTAAAGAGTTGTATCAAGATGCTAGATCTTAACGGCTCATATTCGTCCAAGTTGAGATTAAGTGTTTCAAAGACGAAAGAGGAGAATAAAAAACTACCCTAATGCGCGAGGCTCGAGACTGGTCATTCAAGGATTCTGCTAGAATGCTGGATTCTAAGAGTCCTCTTCTTTCGTGTTTTTGAAATGTTTTTAACAATGTTTTTGATTTAGGAAAGGTTTGAAAATTATTCGATTAAAAATCAAGATGAAATGTTAGTGAGATTATTTACATGTATGAAATGGACATAGATGTGGAAATCGACTGAGCAAATTGCAAATGTCAAAATAAAAAAACAAGCAAAGTACCTAATAATAATTAGCAAATAACTTGTTAAAAAAATAATTAACAAATTAATCAAATACTAATCAACTACTAAATTAAATCATCCATTATAATTATTAAATTAATTTGATCAAAGAAAATAAAATAAAGTTATGAGGGGTGTCAATATAAGAAAGCGTGGTATGGACAGAAAGAGCTAAGTGGACTTGAGTCAAAATATTGCAATTTGACCCCAACTAAATAAGACAAAAGTCTTATTAAAATTTAATCTAAAAAATAAAATAAATAATCAAATAAAAAAACAAAAAAGCACATGGGAAAGGGGGCGGACAGTGGAGTTTTGTTTTGTTTCAAATAAGACAACCTGTTTTCTCACTTTCTTTACTTTTGTATTTTTTTTTTCTAAAACTATGTTAATTCCTGTTGTTTTCTTTTTATGACAGGACACAATTCTCCTTAACAAGGACATAACCTGCAAGACAAGCTTAAGGGGCCTCCCTTATTTTGGAAAAATTCTTCATTTGTAAATTATTGCGGTAAAAAAATGCCTTATAGTAACTTAAGAATAAGTTTCAAAATTCTTCATTTATATTTTTTAATTTTTGACTTTTCAAAATTGTAAAAACAAGTTTCAATTATTATTAACACTTCTAAATGACATAAAAAGACTCTTGCAACCACCTAAGAATAATACCAAGACAACAATAACTTAAATTCAATAAGAATGCAAAGACATGACTTTAAGTAACTAAACTTAGACCTTTAATGCAAAAAACAAATTTATAAACAATCATATTAACAAATACTTAATGTAATACAAAGAAAATGTTGATGATAGATGTATGCAATACATGAGGATAAAGAAATCATACAAGATTCAAATTGGCTAAATGATAATCCATTTCTTGAGAACTCCAAAGCAAATAGTTCTTAGCTTATAAACAAAAAAAGAATCAAAATAATTCAGATGAACTAAGAAAGTTTCTTACTCCAGTTACCTCTAAAGGTACATGACATGAATATATGAATTGACTTAGACAAAACGGTGTAACAAATTAGTTATTAACTTTAGACCTGATTCAGACTTCTACGACCAAATGAAATGGTTATAAGAAGACAAATCAAATAATGGGATATATATGAATGAAATGATTGTATATGGATGTATGAGAACGAATGACTTAGCTTCAGATGAATGTAAATGGGTAGATGCAGATGAATGAGGTGAATCATACAGACAAACTTATGACAATGGATGAATGCAGATAACTGAAATGCAGATGAATGACTTTAGGTAGGGCAAAATTTTGGGTATGAAAGTGATGCATAGATCTTAGGGTTCTTTTTTTCTTCTTTTTTGTGTGTGTAAAGATTAGGATATATTATATAGGTTGAGTGAGTGAGTGAAATACGTGTGTGAGAAGAAAATATTTCCATAATTGTTGATGTAATCATGTGAAAGAAATTGAGTGAATTGAGTTAGGAATGAAATTATGTTTGAGTGGAATTATCAATCCCTAATTTTATGGGATTCAAGTGAGTGAAAAAAATGCGACCCGAGGGAGCTATTGTGGCCACATGCAGATTTTATTTTGTAATTCTTTGTATTCATTGCCATAAAATCCGTTTGTAACAATTTTGTAACTTAAAATCTTAATGAAATTCAAATTAAAATCTTGTTCAAATTTCGTTTGTTTTTTCATTAATCAAGTCTGAAGTTTCTTACTGCAATATGAAAGCAAGTTAAAAAAGAAACAATTGACTCAAATTTTGTTTTCTTTTCTATTTCAAAATGGAATTGTGAAAATGATGTTGATAGAAACGTGAATGGAATTAGAAAAGGATTGAATGAAGTTAGAATGTGATCACATGAATGTATGAGATTAGGATATCATTTGTATGATGAATTGTTGGAAATGTTTGGATGAAGGTGAAATTGCAATGCAAATGGCATGAAATGGTAAACCAATTAACATGAACAAAGATGTTTGGCATGACTAAATGGACAATGAGGTATTAATTTTGTAATGCACCTAAATGTTGAAAAAGTAATTAAAATGAATCATGTGACTTCATGAATGCATAAGTTAATAGAAGTAAGAGTGAAGACTTGTAATTGGGAGAAAATGAACCTCTCATGATCCCATAAAAGAGATGTACTTTATTTGACTCTAAATGTAATGTCCTAAATACAATGAAAATAACACCATAGATGAATGAATTCATAGGATGAAAGATATCAATATATGATGAATCAACCAAATGACCCTCAATTTGGGACCTTAAAATGTAATTGTGAAATCCAAACTTTAAGAAAGAAAAAATAAATGGTACTTAGATTAGAAAACCAACCACATAAAAAACTATACCGTCATAATTCATTTTGAACTTTGTCACCCTTGAACCACACTATTTTATGAATAATGTAGGATTAACGGTGATGCATGAAATGAATGGCCTAAAAGAGCCAAAGCAAAATATGGGGGTATGACGGACGCAGATCAACAACGTTAATTTAATGTCAAGTATCCTGATCCAAGAAGCACCATGATCGTAATTTTCGATCATGGTGTTGCATCGTAAAATCACTTACGAAATTCCGTCTCACTGTAGCTTCTACAATCTTCTCCATTTTTTGTTATGCAACATATCAATAACAAAAACCAGTTTTAGACACAAAAGGTGCAAGACCCCAAAGATCGACGTACACTAGATCAAAGAGAGCATTATATACATTCAAGGAATTAGGACCATTATGAGCTTTACCTAAGCAACAAAAAATCAAATTTGTGGTGTTCCTTTATTCTAAAAATTAATATCACACAAGTTGAATACATGTCTCACAATTGGGAAGTTTACATGCCCTAGTCTATAGTTTCACATGGATAATTCCTCATAAAATGTATAGTCATGTGGATGAAGAAAACGAACGTGAGGAAAGCAATACAAGCCACTCCCAACAAGAAACCCTTCAAGGACAACTTGATTAGAAACTTAAGGTTTCACAAAGCATTTGTTATCAAGGAATTTAAAGATGACCCAATATCTTTTGCAAAATTGGAAACAAATAGCAAGTTTCTAGTAATGTTAGGAACATGTAGAATTTTCCTAAGAGTAAGTTTAGTATTAGGTGAGACATGAGGCATAAACCATGAGGGATCACAACTCCTACATTAGTTATAGATAAAACCTTAAAAGAATTTATATATAGTGATACCCTTCACTTCACAAGCTGATTTTGTAAGGATGAATTATATCAAATTCTAATATAGTATTATACCCTTGAAAAAGTTTATATGAAGTGACACCCCTCATCTTATAAACCAATTTTATAAAGATTAACTTTGACAAACTCTAATATGGTATCATAGCTATCAGTTAGATCATGGACCGCTCACAATTTATATTCACACAATAAACCTAAAATGAGTGTTGGGCGTGAGACAACGTATTAAAAAAATCTTAAATTCCATATTGATTAGAGATAAAATCGTTTAAAAAATTTTATATAAAGCGACACCCCAACTTTATAAATTGATTTTGTAATAATAAATTAAACCAAATTTTAATAAAATAAATTTCTCATTTTAAAATAAAATAAAAATATATATAAATTATTTTTATACTCTCAACCAACGATAATCATGTATCTCGCCATATTATATATATATATATATATATATATATATATATATATATATATATATATATATATATATATATATATATATTCTTTTAATGACGTAATGGATTTTTTTTTTCATATTCATTAAACCCAAATCAAAATAAAAATTACATAGAAATTTAAAGAGTGGCAAAGAATAGTTATGTATGTATCCCACAATGCAAAAACTGTTTGGGCTTTGAATCATTGAATTAAAAAACCTAAAAATGAAAAGAAACATTTATTACAACAACTTGCCTGAGAAAGAGAGAGAGAAAGAGAAGAAGAAAAGAAGAAGGTAGAGTGTAGGCAAGTTCAACAAGTTAACGTTTTCTCATTCATTCATTCATGGCCGAAGTTCTCACAGCCGCAGATGTAACGGCAAGCACGGCTTCATCGTTATCCCCTTCGGTAGTTCCCTCCAACCTCCCTCTCATCTCCGCTTTTCTCTCTTTCGCACTCGCTCAGTTTCTCAAGATCTTCACCACCTGGTGCGTTTTACTTTCTCCTTTTCGGATTTCGGATTTCGAATTTCACTCTCGGTTTCGGTTTTTGTGTTTTCGATTTTCTTAATCATGCGATTTTGCGGTGAATTGAGGGTTGAGGATTGAGGATAGAGTAGATCTCGATTATGCGTTTGCGTATGGACATGCTTGATTAGGTTAATTTGGAGAGTATTTGGGAGATTTTGCGGTTTATGAGTTCTTTTCTCTATCGGTTAGGGTTCTTCGTTTTAGGATTCGGAATATTTATTTGCTTTAGTATTGTAGGATTTATATGCAATTTTAATAGATTAAAATACAAAATTCGTTTTACATTGTAATGTGATTTCGACTAGCTCTACGAGATTATGAGGATTTTAAGGTCTTTGTTAAATTTTACTCATATGAGAGTGTTAATGAGTAAATTGATGAGAAGCTGTTAGATGTAATGAACAAATTGATAGTATGTGGTCAAACATAGGAACCAACTTGACACTTTAATAGTTAGGAACCTTTTTGACACGTTCATAATCTCGACAATCTATTTGAGAGCGAGAGTGAGAGCCTTCTATGGTTTACTCAATTTAAAGGTGTTTGTTGATATCATGAGCTGAGTGCAATCGATTGTGTGGTGTTTTATATACTACTGCAGGCATCTTTTAATTTTTTGTCTTCTGTTTTAGTTACAGAATTGTAACATTGTTTTAAATTATTTACAATCCTGTTTTCAAATTTGCGTAAGAAACACATAATCACTTTATTTACCGTCATCAAAATTTTGTTTAGAAATAAGTAAGAGTATCCTTTTATTGTTTTCAGTATTTCTTACAAGCAGAAATACAGGAGCACTAGCCGACTTAAATGCCTGATTACGTGCTTTTCTATTGTATTTTGTTGCATGTATTTTATTGTGTTGTATTGTATAATATTCATTTTTGTTTAAGTTGCTTGTCTTAGTTTTGATAATATCAATGTTATATCAACTTATCTAAATTTCAGTTTTAATATTCATGTTGTGTGTTTTTGAATTTAAATTTGGCTTTGTTTAGATTTGCACAGAAAAATGTCAACCAAAATTGATAATTACTTTGAGTTTCCTTTATATTATAGTGTATCGATATTCTTAAAATTTGGGTTGGGTCTAACTCATCCCTGCAAAACCCGTGTTTAAGGTAATACCCCCAACTTATAAACATATACTTAGACTATATTGTCAAATGTGAGATTCTTCACAGATATATTAAAACAGAGTAAAGAGGTGAAAGCAATGTGCTATTTTTGTGATTTAAACTAAGAAAGAATGGAATCAGAAAATGAGATCCAAACATGCTTTAAAACTGTGTATCGTCTCTAGAACTGCAAATTGTTATGGACTGCTGAATGGGTATGGAATTTGGAAATGTGAGCTTAATCTTTTTCCAAAAATTTTCTCCTAGATACTCAGGTATAAGGAAAGGAGATGGGACTCTAAAAGGTTGCTTGATTCGGGTGGAATGCCTTCATCACATTCTGCGACTGTGTCGGCTTTGGCTGTGGCTATAGGTTTCCAAGAAGGGACTGCATCGTCTGCCTTTGCTATTGCCGTCATCTTGGCATGTATTGTATGTATTTCATCCATTCATTCATTTATAATAAAATATAGAGCTCTTTTCTTGATTAACTTTGGCCTGCCACTTCTTTCACGTACACAGAATTTCATTCATGGTTTTCATTTTTCTGGTTTATATGTCTGTTTATATGTGTTTTTTTTAGTAAATCTGTATTATATTATATTTTAAGAAGTGTATTTGGGTCAAGAAATAACAATGAACTGCATAAAGTTGGGATTTGAAAGCGAAAAAAGTATTACATTTTTGTGAGCTTCTTTGATCTTTATTTACGTTTTACCTGGTGCACAGTTAATCTACGCTTTTTTATGACCTTGGATGCTATAATGATCCTAAATATTTCATGCCTGCCGAAAACAACTCCAGTAGCATTTTCAGCATTCCCATGATGATTGCCACTGTGCTTCCATTGATGGAGTATTAGAATATAGAAATTGCACTGTATATGTTTGTAATTAAAGATTTCTTTTATATTCATAGTTTATAGGCTACAAATGTTGAGTTTGTATCTAAGTGACACTTTTGTGTCATGTAAACCACATACACATCAGAAGATGCTATTGTGTATTAATTATCATTTTCTTTATGTTTATTTCTTCAATAGAAATTGATGGAAAGCGTTTGATTAATGATTCATACTTCCTTATTTTTGGTGTTATTATCTCGTTAAGATGGTACTACATCCGTTCTTTTATATAAGAGACAACTTACTTTTTGGGTTCATTGAATAATCAGTATATCTAGTCTATAAACCGACCAAATACATTGGTTATTCAATGAACCTAAAAAATGAATTCTCCTATATAAAGGAACGGAGGTAGTATTTGTTATAGAGCCTGGAAAATGTAAATGTTTCTGCTGGTATTGTTGTTTTATTGGGTTGAATTTTAATTGCTTAATATAATAGAGCGACAAAATTATTTATTTTTGGTTACTTTTATAGGTAATGTATGATGCCTCAGGAGTTAGACTTCATGCAGGTCGGCAAGCAGAAGTAAGTTCTTATACTTGATGGTAGTGTTACTGCCATTGACTCGTTTTACATTTTTTCCATTGCTTTATACACCCATTTCATATGTTTTCTTTCTATCTCATTGCAGTTGCTTAATCAAATTGTGTGTGAGTTACCTCAAGAACATCCTCTTTCCAGTGTCAGACCACTGCGCGATTCACTTGGTCATACTCCATTTCAGGTGTGGTGTGCTTTTTCTGAGCTTATTGCTGTTCCAACTCTTGTTCAGATAGATATCTACTACTCTCTTTGTTTTGTTTTGTGACCAACAATTCCTTTTCAATTTTCATTAACAAGGAATACGGTTGTTTGGATATCATCTGAATGAACAGAGTTTCTTCAGCTCTTGTTCAGATAGATATCTACTACTCTCTCGCAATGGCATATACTATATGTGCCCAAACCCCATAATTGCAGGCCTTATCTTTCAAAGTCCAGTTCCCAACATAATTGTTTACATGAATAAGTTGCCACACACTTTTAGCCTATCAGGACCTTAATCTCTCAAGTCTTGGGATTCGGATAAGTGAATTGCATTTTAAGAAATATTACTTTTTCTCAAGCTTGAGCCCTCTGTTTCTGAATGTTCCCTACTATTGTAATTATTATTCAAGAATTACCAACTGCTGTTTTCTTTTGCACAGGTTGTTGCTGGTGGCTTATTGGGGTGCATTATAGCATTTTTAATGAGGAAATAAAGTTGAGATTCCATGCAATGTAAATGTAAATGATATTAATTAAACTATCTTGTCTCAACTGGGCGTGTATGAGGAAAAGGAGAGCATCATTGACATAAAAGCTTGTATTTATTGCGATCATTCAGGCGAGTAAAGAGATAGTGTGCGAGGGTTCTCCATGGTGCTGGGAGATCCATTGTCCCCATTTTTTGGACATTCAGATTTCTCGTGTATACAATATACTGTTTGTTAACTGTCTTAATTGATTGTTGATGATTGAACACGAAATGAGTTAAAACTGTATTTTATATTCATTATTGAACATGATTTGTGATATCATTATTTTATTTGACTTATTATTTTTTCACTAATCCTGAGTGCAGATTTCATTTTCATCTATAGTGTTAGTATTCAAGATGTGTTTCTTAAGTTGCGGACCGGGCAAAAACTGACTGTCGTGATTTTTCTTATCTACGTTTTTGTGTGGATAGGATGATAATTCGATAGATCAGATTTTTGTAGCAATTGGGGTCAATACCCAAAACTTATTTGGTGGCTTCATAAATTGGATTTTACCTTGCAGGTTTGAGAATTTTCGATCTGCACCACACAGTTCACATAATTGGCATTAAAAATTTTAAATAAGATTCCCTCCTTATAAATCTGAAGTCTCAAGTGATGAGTATGCTCAAATACCAATTATTGCAAGCTCCAAATAGCGCAGTCTATGTTGTTGAACATATGTTAATTTCCCTTCGTTTTGGGACATCATGAAAGCAGAGGCGATGATATTTTTTTTATCTGTTTTACAGTAATGTCCGGCTTCCAAACAGTTTGATGACCTACATCCTCACTTTAATTCTATAGATGAGGTCGTCTCAAGCTCTGGGGAACTACAGGCCTACTACTTCTTTGCTTGGCTGTTTGTCTAAGTTGGTCGATGATATGATGACGATTAAAATAATCATTGATTTTGTCAAAAAAACAGGTAAGGAGTGTTTAATTTTGAAGATAGGCCTTAAAATAAACATGATTTGGTTGCCGAAGGTTTTTGGAGTATATATGTTTATGAGATACGTTTTTAATCATGCTTAGAATGAGGGGATCCAGGCGAATTTTTTACATGAATGCCACCTATTGAAAAAAACAAATACCAAATTGCCACTATTTGAAAAAAAATTCAAAAAATACCACTATTTTATTAGGGTTCGTCCATTGGAAGAAACGATCCATTGAAGGATCATTTTCTTTAGTTGGGGTTCGGCCATCCATTGGCCGACCCTAACACTACGTCTTTTTTTTTTTTTTTTTTTTTTTTTTAATTTCAGAAATTAATATATATTATATAATACTTTTTTCATATTTTAAATTGTTTTTTATATATTAAAATTATTTAAATAATAACTTTTTTTAATAAATAAATGAGTGGTATTAATGATATTTAAATAATATTAAATTATTTTTTATGAGAAGTTAATGGTGTGGATTCATGAAAATAAAAAGAGAGATGATATTAAATATTTAACTATTTAATTAATTAATTAATAGAATATAAAATTTAGAGAAATTAATGGAATGAGTTATGAATTTATGATGATGACGTGGATTTGATGTCATATATGTTAGAAAATATAATAGTTTAAATTCATTGTCTTTTTATAATAAGCTTTTTTGTGTACTCTTAATTAATATATTAATTCATGAATATTTAAGATTAAAACTATTCCTTTTATAAACAAAAATATTTTAAATGAAATAATAAATCTTATAAAACGTTATAAATAAAATATTAAAAACAATCCAGACACTAATAATTTATATCATTAATGGTTAAAAATTATTGTCTATAAATTAAATATTTATTAATTTAATTTAATTAATAGAACATATGTGGTTATAGTATTGTGAAGGAGTTGTAAAAATAAAGGGGTAAGAGAAGTTAAATATATAAAAAATAATTTCATATAATAACCCCTTTATTAATAGAATATATAAGGTTATAGTAAAGATTTTATATTTTTATTTTAATAATATTTAATGCTTATTATTATTTTAAAATTATTATACATGTGCACCGCATGCCACATTATAAAATTATTAATATATTTTTAGTAGATTTTTCTAAAAATTATAATGTCTCCATGTTTAAATTAGCAAATTTTTTATGTTTTAAATGTAAATGGTGATAGATAGTTAAAAATACACAAAATGAATATTATAAGAAATCAAAAAAATTTACATTTTTATTTTAACAAGATTTAATATTTATTATTGGTTTAACATTTTTAATATTCTCACATTTTCACACTATCATAAATTCATGATTCATCTCATTAATTTCTCAAACCCTTTATTTTTACAAATCCACGTCATCATCATAAATTCATAACTCATTCCATTAATTTCTCGTAAATTTTATATTCTATTAATTAATTAATTAAATAGTTAAATATTTAATATCATCTCTCTTTTTATTTTCATGAATCCACACCATTAACTTCTCATAAAAAACAATTTAATATCATTTAAATATCATTAATACCACTCATTTATTTATTAATAAAAATTATTATTTAAATAATTTTAATATATAAAAAACAATTTAAAATATGAAAAAGTATTATATAATATATATTAATTTCTGAAATTAAAAAAAAAAAAAGACGTAGTGTAGGGTCGGCCAATGGATGGCCGAATCCCAACTAAAGAAAATGATTCTTCAATAGATCGTCCTTCCAACTAAAGAAAATGATTCTTCAATAGATCGTCCTTCCAATGGACGAACCCTAATAAAATAGTGATATTTTTTGAATTTTTTTTTCAAACAGTGGCAATTTGGTATTTGTTTTTTCGATAGGTGACATTGTAAAAAAATTCCATCCAGGCTGAGTTTGGATCTGCTCCATTTCTTGCCTTCCAGTTTCTTAAAGCGATGTGCGACACTTGGCCAAAAGACATTTTAATGGTTGAGATTTTAAATCTATGAATCAAGTTTTAATTCGAGAAAACTAAAATACGATTCAACTTCCCTCTTCTCTCTTCTGCATCGAAACTTTGGTCTTTCATCTTCCTCTTCCCTTGTCTCTCTGTGCCGACATCTCTCTTCTTTTCAGCTTAAAGATTATTTGTTTGAAACTAAACTGTTTAATGGTGCTGTAATTAATTTTTGAAGTCAATTTGATAATGTAATAAAAAAGAAAGAAGTAATTTTAAGGTTCTATAAATTTTAATGGTTGTTTCAATTTTGCCATTAACGTTTGTTTTACTTGCTAGTGCTAAAACGTGAAAGATGCAATTCTCGAAATAGTTTTGTTGTCAACCGACTCAACTTAGTGTTGTTTATGCTGTAATCGAATTTAAAAGCTTCAAATACAGAAAGCTTAAAATTTTAAAAACCTAATGAAATCTTAAAACTGAAATATAACAATCTTAAAATTACAATTTAAAATTGCAAAATTTCTCATCCCTAAAATGGAATCTTAAAATTACTGCAAAAAAATTAATCACAATCAAACAATTAATAACAATCTTCAAATTCAATCAAATAATCATTTATTTTTAATAATAGTCTTCAAATTCATACTTAAAATTGAAAAGGGGTTAAATTGCTGCACCAAGAGACACTCTAGTGGTAGAATGAAAGTAAAACACTGGGTCGAAAAAAGTGGTGAAAAAGATTAACGGAAAGTTGAGGACAAATGAGTGACACCGATAAAGACATTTGTTTCTTTTGGTTGCACGTCCGGCTTGTTTTTGTCTGTACTGACGAAAATTGAAATTCACTTGAACTTAATAATATATATTTTATTTATTTTTATTATTATATGAATGACTCTGTAAAAATGAGATTTATAATATTGTAGGATAATATTATTTTTAAAATTTAATAATTGTATTGTGTCTTTAAAAATACAAGATATGTAATATAAAATTTTAAATATTATTTAGTTTATAGTTTAAAGTATGATAATGGTTAAAATTAATGTTAAATAATATTAAAAAAATATTATCTCGTAATAATAATTTTTTTTAATAATAAAAAATAGTTTTATTCTAAAAATTTAATATTTTTTATAATTTTTTTTTTTAAAAAAGTTAATTTTATAAGTTTGTTATAATAAATATTAAACCGACTTAACCGAATCCGACGAAAATAAAAATTTTATCGATCAAAACTGGGCCATAAAAATGAAACTGTGGTTTTGCTGAATTTAAATTTTGGGCCCGAAACCGCTCGTAACCGATCGATTATCCACCCTACTACAAAGTATGGGACAAATTAAAGTATAGTTTATAGATCATAATGTATATAAAATATTTAAAATGTATTAAACAGAAAGTTCATGAATGAGTATTACTTAAAAATGCATTAAAATAATATTCTAAGGTGAAATCATGAACAATATTTTAAGAATTAATATTGACAACAATTTCACTTTTAATGTTAATATTTATGTTATCTCTTAGAAAATCAACTTTTATTTTGCTTTTCAATTTTGTCTTGAAAAAAAATACTCTTTGAGATTGAAAAATAGAAGTTATATTTTCTTCAACTCTTTCTTTTCTATTGAAAAAAGAATCAACTTTTGTGCTCTTCATCGTCAATTTAGTGCTACAAAAACAGAAAAAAGTATATATTTTATCAACATTGTCAAACATTACTCAATATCTCATAAACATTGGTCAACATTATTGTGAAAGAGATACCCAAAAAAACAGAGTATAGTCGATTTTTTGATTAGAAAGAAAACCATAAAATAAAGAAAAAAGAAGAGACGAAAGAAGAAAACAAATCAAAGTGGCTTAAACGCTTAAATTTTTTATTCAATTACACATTAAGGAACAATATTTACAATTGAATCTCAACCACAACATTTTCTCCCTATGATTAGGATTATTAGAGATTAATGGAGAAGTAAGAACTAGTATTCTATTTATAAAAATAAAAAAATAAACTAAAATCCTAGCTTTCAACTAACATGAAGTACTAAACAATTTGACCTAACAAACTGACTCAATTA